TTCGTTTCCACCAGGATAAGGCCCTTTTCTGTTTGCCCCCCATTCATAGTATCAATATTTGATAATGCTATCCAATGGAAGAAGTATACGTAGTTTGTCTGCATGTTAGAATGGGCGTGTCAACTACATGTTTGTTGCGATGTTGCAATTTATATTTGTATCTTTAGTAGCAATGGGAGAGTACATCGTTTAGTTTCCAAGTCGTAAGTTGCACGAATTTATAAGGGCTAGAAGTTTCATGTTGGAGTGTGTTCTTACTTGAGACCAGTTTGAGTTGCCTACTGACTTTCTATGCATGTTTCGACGCGACGTCAAGTTCTCTGGCCTTCAAGAAGGCCTTCTAGGTGCACTTTTCTTGAACAAACAGGCCCTGGTTGCAACTTCTTTTCCGTATCGGCAATTGGGTGGTGGTCGCGTATGGCCTTGGCTCCCTTGTCGCACGCATCCCAGTTTTCGCCCAACCTCCCCTGGGTGCGCAATGTGGTCTGTTCGTATCTGCCCAGCTGCCCCAAAATGGTCCCCTCAGTTTCGCCCACTGAACCCTTATTTTCAATGGTGACCCATGTTCAAGAGGGGCGCTCTTGAAGCCCCCCCTTGCTTCTTTGGCCTGTGGTTTTAACACCCAGTCATTTTTTTAATGAATTATTATATCCACCATAGGGTGTTATATCCGGGGGATTACGGTATTCTAAAACCTCTTTCAGACGAACATATCTTCAGGCAAGCGCAAATCTGCACTGTAAAATTTCGACGCCAGCTGTTTTTATGCGGTTGAGAGCGTTGGAACGTAAATATGACGAAGGGTTATTCCAAAAAGGGGTCCTGGGAACACGCTCTCAAGGTCGCGCGGGAGTCTGGGGAGAGGTTGCCTGGGAAGAGTCTCGTAGGAACACGCTCTAACCAGGCCTGACGTTTCAAAAAAAGGCACTCTGAGCTGACCCCCCCCCAAAAAAAAATAGTATGAATGGCCTTCAGCCAGAATTTAGGGACTCTGAAATGTCAGAGTCCAGAGATGTGCAACTCTGAAATTCTCAGGATCGCGCAAATATATTCCGGGTTACATTTTATGTTATTAAGAAGAGCTCTTTCTTGTGTATTACATTTTGCTACATTGGACAGGAGCCTACAACTACTACTACCAAGCAATCACTAGCTAACAGGCTCCTAGAACTCCGGCACATCTACAGTAATCTCATCATCACCCCCCTCATCGTCGGACAGGAAAGGGTCGTCGCCTAATGTTGGAGCCGCATCATTCTCATCATCACCCCCATCCTCCTCAGCCCACCCCTCCCCCGCGTACTCTGGCACCTCCCCCTGTCCTTCATCCGTTGTGTCCCCCGCCAACTCACCCTCTAGGGCCTTCCCCTTGCGTTTTCGTTCCGCTCTTGCGAAGACAACAGATCGTGCTGGCCGTCTCAGCTTCTCTCGCCAGGTCGCTAGGGCTTCGGTCCAATTGATGACATACTGCAGCAGCGAGATGGCCATCAACTCGGAGAGACGCGCGTTGCAGAGTGAGCCACGGACCCAGGACTTAATCACATTCTGCCGAGAGAAGCCCCTCTCGCATTCGACGGTTGACAAAGGCAGCACGGCGCAGGCCTGCCAGAGGCACATCAGATTGGGTCAGCGCCTGACACGGGGCACAAAAACAAAGGCGGAAGAAAGGCAGTAGGAAATGCATACAGTGAAGGCGGATAACAAAAAGATGCGGTTGGCAAGGGCGGCGATGTTGTGCACACTTGGCAAGTAGAATGGAAGGTGGTGATTCAGAAACGACAATATGGTTGGACTTGCCTGCTCGAGTCCGTCTTCGTGAGGTAGTTTGCCAGGCCTTGGTGGAAACTCTCCACCTCGTGATGATTCTGCATGATCGGCGCCCAAGTTGCGAGCTCCCTCTCCGCTGCCTTCACGTCGAAGCCTGGCAGCTTGTGCTCGAAGATGCCGCTGCATCCAAGCAGATACTCTCTCGTCTTCTTCTCGCGCTGCGCCCGTTGTCTCGGCCACTTCGCCGCCACCCAGAGCTTCGTCGGCGACATCTTGCGCAGATCCAGCATCCGCTCTTGTACGTTGGTCATGGTATCCTTGGCGTGCTTCTGGCAGAGCTGCACGCAGTCCTTGTAGCTGCTCCCGTACTGGTGCTTGTCGAGGTGCCGCTCGTGCATCTTGTACGTATGGGTGACGGGGTTCCCCTCCAAGTCGATACCGCGCACCTTCACCCGCTTCGTTCCGCCGCGCCCGTACACCGTGAGGAACGCCGAGAGCCAGGTGTTTTCGGCGCCGACACCGAAAATCTCCCCGAAGTCGACATAGCGGTGCCGCAGATCCCCCAGTGTCGCGTCGATGTCCGTTGCCACCTCTGTGACATCGACCTGCGGTGTGAGGGGGGGGGGACACAGAGGAGGGAAAGACATGAGTACTTGCACCAGAGGAGAACACCATGCTTGCAAACATGAGCATCTTACCTCTCGCTTCTGAAACTTGAGGTTGAGGTCGTTCATGAGTGCCAGCATGTCGGCCAGGTAGAAGAGGCAAAACTGAAACTTATACGAAATCACAACCTCATACAGGGGATGCTCATACTCATACAGCAGAACAATCGCAGCACCCAACACTTTACACAGGCGTCGGATTGCCTCTCCCCTGGACAACCATCGAACTTGATGGATGCCTTGAACCTCAAGGTTGGTGCTGTGAATCGCCCGCTGCAGATGCTTGAAACGACTGCTCCATACGCTCGACCGGCCGAGAAGGTCCGCAAGGGTGCGAGTGACTTTGTCGACCATGTCGAGGTCTGGACATGAAGCGGCAGCATCCTTCACAGCAAGTGCTTCTCTGCATGTACCGACATGGGTAGTGGTTAGCACACAGAAACATAAAAAGCATAAACAGACAGCAAGGAATACTTTAACAAACCTGTGGGCGATGCAGTGGGAGGAAAAAAGGTGCGGGATGATGTCTCGCAGTCGCGCCACAAGCCCGTTGTCTCGGCCGACCATCACCGACGCGCCGTCTGTGCTGATGCCAACGATGCGTTGAAGGTCGATGCCGGACGACTCCAGGTGGGCTAAGAGAGTGGCCATAAGAGAAGCGGCGTCGCACTTGTCAACGTTTAGCAGGGCTAGGAATTCGGTGACGACTCGACGCAGCCGCATGAATGTGATGTAGACGATCAAGTGCTTTCCCCGAGTGCAGTCGGTGCTTTCGTCGCATGAGATGCCGAGGTAAGGTGAGCTCTTGATATGCTCCATCTGAGTAGCCAGCAGATGTGTAGAGAGACAGTTGACCATCTGCTGGAACCCGTACCTGCAGTGGCATAATCAGAAGTGAGACACTGGTTAATTAGCATTGGAAATGCATTGAAATTTACAAGGTTCATATCAACATCCAACCATCAACCGGCGAAAGCCAGGTAGCCTTACCTGGTGAGATACACTCCGTACGACTGGAGAGGTATGTCTGGTGTGTCTTGCTCTGCCATGAAACGAAGCAGCCGGGGAAACATGGCGATAGGAGCGTCGTTCTTGCAAAGAAATTCCACGCACCGCAAAAGACGGATGACGCGGCGGCCTTCGACATCGACGGTGGCGAAGCTTGTCATCTTCTGCTGCTTGTCTTCAATTTCCTTTTGAATCTCGAGCTGCCGGCGAACTGCCGCTTCGTGGACTGTCGAGTGTTCGTGAATGCGCATCGTCTGTGTCTGGAGATCTCGCCCGCCGTCGCCTGGCCTTGAATACTTCGTCGTTTCTTTACCGAAGGCTCGGCAAACGCTGCACTTAAGAGCGGGGTAGCCATCTTTAGTACGGGTAAGTACAAGCCATGGGAAATAACGCAGCCAATCATTCTTATACTTAGCCTCCGCGACTAGGTACTTCTGCTCGATCAATTCCTCTGTACTTAGCCTCGGTGGCGGCGGTTCATCAGGGCGGGTGACGGGGGTAGGTGAGCGCGGTGGTGAGGGAGGGCGAATCTGGCCACCATGGTTGATACGCTGCTGTGTATACTTCGTCGTACGTTGTTTCTTCGCCGAAGAGACAGTCGATGCGCAGGGCACACTATAACGAACGGTAGAGGCAGTGGCGCAGTCAATAGGATCCACTGGTCTTCTGCTAGAAGATGCTATGGCTGGTGGGAGAACGAACGGAGCGGGGGCAGGTCTACTAGGCAACGATGGCTCATCGCGTGGGGTCTCGTTTACAACGGTTGTGGCGACAAAAGGCGGAGGAGCCGATGCGGCAACGGGCCGCAAGACGTCTAGGGCGCTCCTTGGCGCAACGACAGGAACCTTACTGCTGCGCGGCTCATCACCGTCAGCTGGAGCATCGTCGTCGCCATCCTTTTCAGGCATGGCGAGAGGAGAAACAACGTGTAGGAAATGAAGACAGTGACTACAACTACGCATGTGTCGAAATGAACAACATGGAGGATTTCCCCTCTAAAACCTGAAGCAGTGCGTTCGAAGCTGGTGGGTAAGGAACAACTGGAGAAGAAGGGGTCCATCAAACCCGTGTCGCACCTTTCTTGAAAGGCGTGACGCGGTTTCGGGACTTGTCCATGCACAACACAGCGCCATGCTGCCTAGTCGATGTGTTGGCTGCAACTGCAGCCAATGGGGATGATGGCCAACCTCTGCAAGGCTGGCACAGAGGGCACGGGCCCGAGGTTCGCGCATGCACAGAGAGCAACAGAGCAGAATCTGTGGTCCTTAGTGGCTCGGCGTGGCAGCATTTTTGCTGCGCTGGGTAGCAGAGTGCCCACTGTGGGCAGAGTATTCATTCGACTTGGCGGATTTTTCAAGGAAGTGTGGATTCTCCACGTGACGCGGGCGGGAATCACTGATGGCATGCGAAATTTCTAGGGATATTGCGTGCCCCGTGGAAATCTGTTTCAGGGTTCGTACCCGATGTACTCTGAAAACTCAGTATTGGGTTAGCGTGAACTCTGATTTTTTCAGGATCCCTAAAGTCTAAGTCTGAATCGATCAGGATTGGGAAAATGCCTTATCTGGAAATTCAGGTTTAGCCAAAAAACCGGTCTGAGATTTCAGACTAATCAGAGTAAATAGTCTGATAAAGTCAGCCCTGCCAGCGAGCCCGCGAAAAACAGGAATAGCAGAGGGGGGTCCCTCTTGAACTCCCCATGCGGAATCAGCGAGGCCCACGTCGCGTGCGACAAATGTCTTAGTGGGACTACACGAAACGCCAGGCTGTCAAATGTATTTCGCGTCGAGCCCACATTGGCTCGTACTCTCACGCAACCAATAGCATTTCGGCAATCCGTTTATCTTGTTTCCGGAGAGTTACAAAGTTCCAGGCACTGTGACGTTTCGTTTTCTCGCCAGCTCGGGACTTAGTTTTTTTGCACCCACTCAACCATCAAGAGGGACCCCCTCTGCTATTTTGCCGTGGGGTTTTAACATTCAGATGGGAAATAACTAATGGTCTGGGTTTTCAGACGAAACAACAAAATCAGGTCTGTTTTTCAGACCATCAGACCAATTTCGTCTGATGTCAGGGGCCCTGCTGTGAACCCTGGGAATTTCAGGGTTTCGGGTTCCTGAACACTGACAGATCAGTGTAGGGATTTTTCCAAAACAGAGCCCTCAGGGTAATTTTTTTTTTTTCTAGTCGACAGCTCAGGGTGGTTTATTTTGAGACGTCAGCCCTGCTCGGCACCAACAATCCGGTAGTCTCAGCACATTGCCCATGCGTAGTTTCCCAGGTCTCCAATAACAACACAATCAGCATCAGCACCGAAAAAATCTCTTACCAGTAACATCATGCAGCCCTCCCCCCCCCAGCCCCCCCCCCCCCCTCCTCTTCCTTCATACCCCTGTCTGCATCATCAGTTCCATCACCAGCCGCAGCCTCCTTGTCTCATATTCCCCTAGCACCCTCCCAGGCGCCCCCAGCACACCATCGCCATCCCCATCACCACCACCACCAACGCTACCATCGTCATCAGCAGCAGCAGGAGCAGCAGCCCAGTCCCAGTTCATGAGTGTGGGCACGCCCCCCACAGCAAACGGGGGGAAGCGGAAGGCATTGTCAGCGCTCTTCCAGGTGGGGCGGTCGCCCACCCACACGCGCACGAGGAGTGCAGGGGGCGAGGTGGCAGGCGAGGTGAGGGGGTTGGCCTGGAGGGTGGTGACGGCAGTGGCGATCACAGGCTCTGACTTGCGGCAGTCTGGGCAGGGGAGTGGAGGGAGGATGGGGAGAGAAAGCTGGTTTGAGTCGAATAAGAGAATGGAGAGTCCCATGGGCATGTATGATGACGATGATAATGGTTAACGGCGCTGATGATGGTGACATGACATGTAGCGCAGCAGAAGATATGTGGAAGACGCCATTGTGAGTGCGACACCAAGGTTGGGGATAACAGCTCCCTGCCTTTCCTGCACATGTGAGCAGCTTCTTAGAATAACCACCATACATACCCATCACCATACATGCCCATACCCTCAACACTCTTCCCCCTTCGAAAACAGCCCGCAAGCTGGCATGAGGCACTTTACCAGGGCACCAGGACTGGTTGGTGGAGGGCACGTGGTCTGCCAGGAACAGCAGGAACACGGGGGCACGGCTGGCCTCGTGCTGTTTAAGCAGGGTAATTAACCCATGTCGGGAAGACACCTCCACCTCCTTCACATCCACATGCGCTGTTGGCAGCGGTGTTGGGGATGGGGGCGAGGGGGTTGCTTCATCTTCCTCAGTATTCCCTGTAGGGCCACTGGCTGCAGAACCACCAGCAGCAGCAGTGGTATCAGCAGCTGTGGTATCAGCAGCAGTGGTATCAGCAGTGGCGGCGGCAGCTGCTGTTGCGTCTGCTGCGGTAAAGGCACGAGCATCAGCCTCTGCATCCGCCATCTCCCACTCGCCTCTTGCTTCCCCGCCCGCACTCGCTGCTCCCTCCTCCTCTCCCCTTCTTCTGTCCGCCCTTCCTCCTGATCCTTCCCCTTCTCGCCCTTGCCTCGCTACCACTCCTCCTCTGCTCGCCGCCCCCCTTAATATCTGTCTCCTGTCTTCTGCCTCTAAGCTCACCTGCCCCCAACCTGACGCCCGAAGCTTTGCTGAGGAGCTGCGGAGAAGCCCAATCGCGCCTGGTTTGTCAAGCGCCGCTGCTGCTGCTGCGGGTGGTGCTGTTACTGCTGGTGCTGCTGCCAGTGTTGCGGCTGCGGCTGCTGCCGTTGCTGTGGCTGCAGAAGGGAGCGCAGGTGGTGCAGGACTCAGCTGTGATAGGAGTTGAGCTAGGGGGGTAGTGTAAAGAAGGGGGTGAATGGGCGCACGGGGACAAACGGAACAGGAATGAGGAAGAGCGAGGGACACGAGAGCAGAGCGGCGGAGGATGCGAGGAGGGCGGGTGGGGAAGATACGAGAGACATGGGAGGGTGGGGGAGACATGGGAGGGTGGGGGAGACATGGGAGGGTGGGGGAGACATGGGAGGGTAGATGGGAGGATGTGAGCCAGATGAAAGCAAGGCAAGGGTGCAACCCCGTGCTGCCAGGTGGCTTTTGCGTCTACTCAAAAGGTGGTTAAAGCAATCTCAAGCAGCCGGGCCAGCCCATTATGTAGCCAGACCGGCCATTCCCAATCTGTGCAAAGGTCTCTGACAGGTGTTTCGGAATGTGCGACTGGCTAGAGCTTCCCGCATAACCCACTGTTGCGGAACGGGCATTTCGTGCGTCCGCGAAATGTCATTCGCGTCACTTCGCCAAGCCGCCAGCCGATTTCCCACCAGGCTGCGCCAAATTACCCCTCAGAGACCGAGGTGACTTTCGAGTCGACTCTGAAGTCAACTCAAGAGTCGACTCAAAAGCTGCGCCAACACCGCTAAGAAGAGGACTCTTCCAGCCTAGTCTGCCCGTTAGGCCCTAAAACAGGCCTTAAAGCCCACTAGCGAATCCAAGCAGGCCTTAAAGCCCACCAGCAAATCCAAGGAGGCCTTAAAGCCCACCTGTCAGTCCGAGCAGCTGCAGCAGAAGAACGACCGGGAGCACGATCGCGAGACACGCAGACAGCACGTGCGGCGGCCTCGTCGTCAGCGGCCCCGCTGCTCCGCCACGCGCGGGATGGTGGTGGACGTGCCTGTGGCAGTGACTGTGACTGTTACTCTGGTGGTGGTGGTGATGCCGTGCCGCCAGCCGCGCTTCCGTGGAATAGCCCAGCTTGACAAGACGAGGGGGAAGTGAGTGTGGCTGCGGCAGAAGAAAGAGAATGGGCAGACTGCGAGTGGCGTGGGGATGCTGTTTGGGGAGTGTCCGAGGCAGCGTGTAAGGTTTCCGAACGTCACGGAACCGAGAGGTTTTGCTATCCAACCGTTCTGCAGTATGCAGATACCGTAATGTACCTTCCCGTGACGTCCGTGGACGTCACGATCTGTTTTACTTCGGACACTCCCGTACTAAGCCTGAAATCTGTCCCTAATTTTGTGCCAAGTCGTGTTCGGAGTTGCGATTTTAAAAAACGTTCACACTGGAGCCTACTATATCTCACAAGACCCCGTTTTTACTATGCCAGACCAAGTTGCACCGGAAACCAATAACGAGAACTTTTGCACTTAGGACCCGCCCTGAAGGCCGTTCTTGGCCAGTGTCAAACTTCGGTCTAAGGCCGCGTTCTGAAGTTTGGCCGAACTTTGAAGTTTTGCCAACCTACTTGCCACGTCGGAATTGCACATTGCAATGCTTGGCCGTGCGCTTCGAACTTTGGCCAACCAGCCCCTTCCACACTATGCTGGCCAGAATTCGTGCGACTGGGGTCCACGAACAGCTGCGACCGAGGGTGAAACCTGGTTTCTGCATACTTGGCCGGCCACGCCAAAGAAATGTGACGTCAACCAAGCCACAAAAGCAGCACCAACCTGCCCGGCGCACGAACAGCCGTCAAACTGCGAATGCTCCACCCTCCTTCATCAAAGCCTTCATCAACACCCCAACCAGAAGGAGATGGCCTTAAAACCCGCGTGTTAACTTCCTCGAGTTGTGTATCTTTGGTCGGAAGATCCCTGGAAGTGCTGCCTGACAGCCAATCCCGCCTTTCCACCAAACCAACCTACCTGCCATTGAACTGCTTGGCACAATGGTTTTAACTTTTTATTCTTGCGGAAATTTGGTGAATTTTCACGACAACTTTCCCGAAATTATTTGGAAGCTGGCCGTCAGGTGTCGCAGTCCTCGGCGACCCAGATTGTGTTCTGTCGCATATCGTTCTGCAGATCGCCTGTCGATTTGATTTGGCGCGATGGGGTTTCGTTCGCAAAATGTCGAGGGCTGGTCGCCAAGTTTTTCGCATGGGGGTTCGCCAAAGTTCACATACCACAACTTTTGCCAACCAAAACCTCAAACTTTGGCCAAACTTTCGCTGACGTGACGAGTCGGACGGCCAAACTTCAATTCGGCAAAACTTCATAACGCGATCTAAAACTCCACCTTGCTACGATTTCTGAAGTCTAAATCATGAGTCGTTGAGGCGAAGCTTAAAGCCGTTGACCCATAACGCACACGTTTGCGTTCAAGACTAATAACCTTGAAGGGCGAAAATAGGGTAGCCGGGTTTCGGGCGCCCGAGTTTTGGCGACCAAGGGACGCGGGAGTTCCCCCCCGAACTTGAAAAACCGAGTATGCAATTTGGGACTTTTTAAAGCCCGAGTCTAAAATTACAAAGCAGGGGCTCACTTGAAACTTGTACTTTTTTTTCATGCAGAAAAAATATTCAGTATTTTTTTTGGGAAAACAACGAGAACACACGCAAAACCAAAAGCGAGGGTGAACGAGGGCAGGCATTGGCACACGGCCCTTCCACCGTTCCGACGACGCCGAAAAGTGAGCGCGCGAAATCCACTCACGTCGCAGAACCACACTAGGCGACCAACCCACAAGCCCAACGACCACACTAGGCGACCAGCTCGCCCCTGGCATTTTCAAGAGGACCCCCACTTTGTATTTGGTGCGGTGTACTCGCTGGCCTTTGCTAGGACACTAGCAGGTTAGGAGGCAGAAAAGGTCATTAGTAGCCCATAGTCTAGCATCTCGTTGGCCAATTCAGCATGGGACATGGGTTAGACGCTCGGGACCACGTACGCGACGAAAAAGCCTGCGAAAGGTAGGCCTCGACGTCCCGTTCCATGACTTTCTTCGAATATACGCCCGCTAAAATTCCCTCTGGCTCTCCCGTCGCGCAATCGGCCCTCCCCCTCTCTCCCGCCGTTACGCTTCCCCTCCCTCTCTCCCACCGTTATGCTTTCCCTCCCTCTCTCCCGCCGTTACGCTTTCCCTCCCTCTCTCCCGCCGTTACGCTTCCCCTCCCTCTCTCCCGCCGTTCCGCTTCCCCTCCCTCTCTCCCGCCGTTCCGCTTCTGCCCCCTCTCTCTCGCCGATACGCTTTCCTGTGAGAGTACGACACCGTTACACAAATTTCCCCTTTCCATATTTCCTTTCTATTTCATTCCACTTTTTATCCTGATTCATTTGGTCTTTATCTCATCTCATTTGGTTTATCCTGTTATTATAATTATATCACCGACCAAGCTTGGGATGTACTGGCGCGCTATATCTAGTGTAATCCTGCTGTAATCCCTTAAAGCCAATAGCCTCGCAGGATGATTCTATACGAAGGGTGATTCTATTTCTAGAAGGATCTATTCCTTTTGGATAGGATAAACCTGGTTACCTGATGTACTATGGAAGTACAAAAGCACCTTGTACTGATTGATAGTGGAACATTGAGCCAACCTCATTCGATCTTGTGACACTTCCCCTCCCTCTCACCCGCCGTTACGATTCCCCTCCCCCTCTCCCGCCGTTACGCTTCCCCCCCCTCTCTCCCGCCGTTACGCTTCCCCTCCCTCTCTCCTACGGTTATGCTTCCCCCCCCCCCCTCTCCCTTCGTTACGCTTCCCCTCCCTCTCTCAGGGTCGGGTTACGCTTCCTCCCCACCCCCCTTCCCCTCTCCCGTCACGATACGCTTCCCTCCCCTCCCTCTCCTGCTGCGCTGCCCAACCTGCTGTCCCTGTCGTTATGCCTCCCATCTCTCTCCCATCATTACCCTTTCCTCCCCTATCTCCCATCGTGGTTTCCCTCCCTTCCCATAATAGATGGGACGAGACAAGGCAGGCTGGGGGGGAAGGGATGGGAGAGAGATGGTATGGAGAGGGGCAGGGATGGGAATAAACATGGCAGGGAGAGAGGGGGAAGGGATGGGGAGGGAGATGCAAAAGCGGGGGGGACAGATGTGGAGGGAGATGGCAGTGAGGGGTGGGGAGGGACTCCAGTGAGGAAGGGGGAGGGGGGCGGGGATGGAGATGGCGGAGATGACATAAACCCCTCCTATCTCTCTTTCACCCATTCCTCCCTCCGCTGCCTTCTGTGCTTCCCCCCTTTCACCCCTGCCTTATGTGCTTCCCCCCTTTCATCCCTGCCCCTCTAACTGCCCTGGTTCCCCAACTCCTTGTCTCCCTTTCTTCCCTGCTGTCCCTCTCTCCCTCCGCCCTCTCTCTCTCTCTCTCTCTCTCTCTCTCTCTCTCTCTCTCTCTCTCTCTCTCTCTCTCTCTCTCTCTCTCTCTCTCTCTCTCTCTCACGCTTTCTATCCCAGTCCTTTCTCTCACACTACCTCAATTCTTTATCTTTTTGCCCAAGCACAGCCTGTGCATGCAGGACTCCCGTCTCCTTTCTTCAATTCCAGACACCGCCTTCACGCACTCCCTTTTGTCCATCCCCTGGGACCTAAGGTCACGGCGGACGTTAGGAGCCTAAATGCTTACTCGTTTGCAGGATATGTTGATTTAGATAAACATTTATGGGCTTGTAGGTTGCATATTGGTATTGGTTTGGTGCAATCATAATGTGTGCATTTATAAACTATTTGTTTGCATTCGGGCAATTTGTGTATATGCAATATCTAGCCTAGTTACATGTACACTAAGCATTTTCTTTTGCTGCGTTGGGTTCATTGTCGCGTTTGGGATTCAGGGCCCGTTTTGAAGCGCGGATTCGATACTGAGCCTGCAATCTAAGACCTTGGTTAGCGCAAATCGGGTATTGTTTCGAGTATCCACTGGCAAAACTCTGCATTGATTTTGACATAAGAACACGCCCTAGATTCGAACTCCCTCCCTGCAATTCGCGTCGCCAGTCGATTCGTGGGTTTGTCGCTTGCGTTTGTCGCAACCGCCGATACTCGCATTTCATGCGTTTTCAGGCGTTTCACTCTGTCCTGCTGGACTAAAATTGGATTTCTGCTCAGTTCATCTATTTCAAAACTTTACAGGAGTGCCCTACTTCAAAGGGGGCTCTCTTGAAACCCCCCTGTGCAATTTTAGACTCGGGCTTTAAGCTGAGGCGTACTTCACTGCGTGGCCGCCCCCCCCCTTTGCCCCCGCCCCCGTTTGAGGCTGCAATTTGCAACTTTTGTTTGTGCTGCCCCCCCCGTTTCCCCCTTTTGAGTCTCCAATTGGGACTTCTGTTTTTGTCCCCCCCCCCCCCCCCCCCCCCCCCCCCAATTCCCCCGCTAGTCTTTCATTTTCCCTGCGCAACCCTCCCCTTGTCTTCCGCTCCCACGCATATTCCTACGGGTGTTTTGCGCTGGTTGGTCAACTTCGATTTTTGCCTACACGTTTTTCCCGCTCGGCTTCGTGCCCTTTTTGCACTCTCGTCAACAGCTGGCGCTACTTCGCAGCCCGTTGACTCACACTCTCCCATTTCCTCTGCATTATGGGTCAACGGCTTTAACACCAGCCAAGAACACTCCCTCTGTGGATCGATACTACACCATTTCTCCTATTAAGTCCCACGGTTAATGCACGCAGCTGGAGCCTGTAAACAGGAAACGGAAGAATGGGTCATTGAAGGGAAAACACACAGTACCCACTGTCACTTGGTTACACATTCTAGCTCATGCACTAGAGAAGTTGCATGCACGACCTCCCAGCTCGGAAACTCGCAATTGTCAATATTTGGTATGACTGTTCACCACAGTTTAGACTACAGCAAATCAGATTCAGTGTCAAAGCGAGTCATGCTGAGAACTTGGTAGGTGGGTCTAAATTTTGGACTGTTTTGATGGGGAAAATAACAAGGAACAGGTGTATCTTCCTCACTTCTAAGAAAGAGTGGGATCGTGTTATGATTATATGGATTGTGTTATGATAATCTCCAGATAGGAGTCGAGCAATGCAATAGTGAGGTCGTGATTAAAGTGTGTCGAGTACAAATGAAGCACAGGGCTAAATACAAGCACAGTTAGCCTAGCAAGAGAGGCTCGAGGAAGGCCAAGAAACACATGCGAGGTGGTTCGGGGCGCCTCGGGACTCGGAAGTGTCGGACGCGACGCCGCGTGTAGGCTTGGGGTCTCGAACGTGATTCGAACCTGAATTGTCGGGCCGAGCCTGGACTTCTGAAAGTCTGGGCTGTACTCGATGTTAGCGAGGCTCGATAAGGAAAAGGGATTTTCCTGACAGATTGGGTTTCTAGACGTTCGATGTTTTCAACGCATAATTGGTGCTGTTTCCTTTCGAAATCAAAGACCGGCATGACACAAGATGAGACAGAGAGGCAAAGGGCCCAAGCTTGTAAATACGCAACAATGATACCTTTGTACTAACTTGACTTCACATGCGGCAACTGTATGCACTTATAGCATATGGTTTTTTCATGTGGGCAAAATTGTATAGCATTTATGCTTGTCCTTTTTTCTGTGAGAATGCAAGCATACCGTACGAGACCAAACATGATGCGCCTCGTGCACATCTATACGATAATGAAACCTAACAGTACAGTGCATCGCATAAGTTAGAACCCGTGCCCCAAAATGCAAGTCGCGCGTCCCATAGGCAGTGCGTATGAAACTAGGTGAGTTGGGGTGAGGGGGGGGGGGGGGGGAGGGGAAAGGGGGGGGTGGGGGTTGGGCTTATTCAACTGTTGGGGCTGGGAGGCTGATTTCAAACTAGAGGAAAGGAACTTCAAAAGTTTCTGAAGTTATGGCCCTCAAATTTCAAAGATGCGGATCGAATAGTTATAAGTCGAAGAGTGTTTTATCTTATTTTGTCGCTCGTGAAAAGTAGCATGCTGATGATCTTCTCGTTTGTTTCGCCAACCCCCCAAACCCTAGTTCATACGCAGTGCGTAAGAACCTTTTGGGCCGATGTTTTTAATGTATTGAATGTGTAGTGGTTGACAAAACGCCATCTCCTACATACGCTGGTATTTCGTATAGGCAATGCATGTGCTAGTGGCGAATCAATAACGTATTGATAAATAATTTTGCCATCAACAGTCACTAGTCAGGACCCTACCCTTGTTGCCCAACTCGGAGCACGAATGAGGAAACTGGACATTGAAATCCAACGATCGGTATCGGCTCAGAAAAAACCATCCCTTAGGATTAAGAGCTTCCATGAAAACCACTCGTACGGCTCGAACAATACCTCCCTTGGAATACAGAAGTTCCACGACCATTGAGGCAGTCAGTAGGGTCCATTTCTATATGCACAACAAAATCCCAAGGCATGACATTCTGCCTCAGCGTTGGCATGAAAGCCTAGACAAACTTTGTCCCAGACACAGATTCGAGGCTAGAAATTTGGTTTGCTTTATGAATCTGCAAGAGTGAGACAATGCAGAGAGGGGCGAGTTAGAGGGAGGGAACAAAATCGCCAGACATTGTGGAAAAATGACGGGTGTGAAATGACAAACCGAATGAGGAGGGGTGAAAAAAAAAAAAAAAAAAAAAAAAAAAAAAAAAAAAAAAAACCGGGTACCCCTGAAGACTTTCCGTACAGAAAGAGTGGCGCCAAAAGCAACCCATAACGTTACGGGAAGGTTTTCACCGGACCCTTTAGCTTCAAGGTCCATATGAAATCTGCCTTGAAAATCATTCAAAAATGGGCATTTGCCTTGTTAGCATAAGCCCTAGTATCGACTGATCAAGCTACGTCCGCAATGAAGCTAATGCTCATTTTACGAACAATATCATCGCCAACACCTAGCTCAGCTAGAGGTTTTTCACTTAGTGGAAGAAAAGTTATTACACGTCAGCAAACTCCGTACCTCAACTGCTTCGATGGCAATGACTTCTTATGCACAAAGCTTTGAAAGTGAACTATTAATTAAAGACATGCAAAATTGGATGTTCTATTGTGGAAGCTTTATATTCCCCGCTAATAGCTCATGTGAAGAGAAGTCGAAATGCCATAAAGTTCGTCCTCGCGTACTCTCCTCTCATAAAAAAAACGTCTCGCTTGAAGAGTAGATCGACATTCACTTCTTCAAGAATCTCTATGCTCCGGCACAACTCGTGTGGGAGCATCTGCAAAAAATACACCAAAGCAGATGTTCAGTCATGTTGAGCTGCTTGCTTAACCATCTCGTGTCCATTCAAACGCTACCAAGAGAAAACGCGAGCCCCTATACCAATCTATGTTCAAACACAAGAGATGAATTGCGGAATCGTGAATGCACCTTCCTTGACAACATGTTTGCCACCACTGCCCTGTCTGGCCTAGGTAGGCGAAGCTTGAAATTTACTTGCTTGACCTGGGGCACACTAGGGAAATTTGGGCATGGATTCCGTTTGCTTACAAGGAAGCTTTCACTGATTCCATCCACCTAACGGGCTAGGTTTCTTGTAATTCCTTGACTTACAGAAATAATGTTCATTTATTTTTTAAGTCCAGTTGTAGAGGGAAATCTGTCCATCGTACCCCCCTTCTCCCCCCTCCCCCTTCTCCCTACTTACGCCACTTTACTAAAGGTGACTTCCTGAATGGGAAAACCAAGATAAAAAATGCACATTCATATATTGATCCCGATGCTCTGAATATTACTGTACGTCAACTCCATAATCGAAAGCCACAACGTTAGCATCGCGAAGGGTTGCCCTGTTGGTTAGCACCACGATCACAATCAACACAACTATGCATGCACCCAGGCTAGGCGCTGCATGGCAGCAGCGCAAGATTGAACGACGTGCGGCAAAAGGATGCAAACGCTAAGGTGCCCAGCGCGTGTCATGACCCACTGTTGGGAGAGCAAGGAGAAGGGGAGGTAGATGGCAAAGAAAGGGGTAGTGAGTGAATGAGGGGTGAGCAGAGGGGACCAGGAGGGTGAGCTGAGGCCAAGGCATGGGTGAGCTGAGGCCAAGGAGTGAGTGAGCTGAGAGGCAAGAGAGCGGGAGTTGAGAGGCAAGAGAGCGGGAGCCGAGAGGCAAGAGAGCGGGAGATGAGAGGCAAGAGAGCGGGAGCCAAGAGGCAAGAGAGCGGGAGATGAGAGGCAAGAGAGTGGGAGATGAGAGGCAAGAGAGCGGGAGATGAGAGGCAAGAGAGCGGGAGATGAGAGGCAAGAGACCTGAAGATGAGAGGCAAGAGAGCGGGAGATGAGCGGCAAGAGAGCGGGATATGAGAGGCAAACGAGCAGGAGATGAGAGGCAAGAGAGCGGGAGATGAGAGGTACGAGAGCGGGAGCTGAGAGGCAAGAGAGCGGGAGATGAGAGGCAAGAGAGTGGGAGATGAGAGGCAAGAGAGCGGAATATGAGAGGCAAGAGAGTAGGAGATGAGAGGCAATAGAGCGGGAGCTGAGAGGCAAGAGAGTGGGAGATGAGAGGCAAGAGAGCGGGAGATGAGAGGCAAGAGAGTGGGACATGAGAGGCAAGAGAGCGGGAGATGAGAGGCAATAGAGCAAGAGATGAGAGGCAAGAGAGTGGGAGCTGAGAGGCAAGATTCAGGCCCCACCATCACAACCTCACTCCCACCTTGTAGGCAACAGAATAGGGCGACAGGGAGTGCAGAGTTTTCTACTTTAACGGGAGCTTCTGCGGGAAGTGCCTGGCACAGAGTTTGGAGCTGCATTAAATCTGCAGTCCTCTAAGGAGAATTTTGCCTCTAAATTGTGTGTCTTCCAGTGTAGCTTGACAAAGCTTGTGTTGTGTGATGTCATCATATGCTATCACATTCTGTCTGCCTCCCATCCTATGTTTCAAATTCGCATGTATGGTTTTGAATGTGCGGGGAAGAATTTGTGTGTGGCGTGTTCTGGGAATATGTTTTGTGTTATTTTGTTTGAGCAGGTATTTGTGATGATAGATCTCGAGAAGAAATTTTTGACGAAACAAGAACCATTTCAATCAGAGCAAGAACATGAAAGCTATGAAGATTCAAAGTTCATGAGCTTGCATTACAATTGCGGCAGTTACAAAGTGAAATTGTAGGGTGACTCAATATGGATTTGGGACCATTGGGGGTCGCGGAAATTCATCACTCTACTGTAGTAGTTGCAAATTGGTTGGGAACAACCAAAACTAGGTTGGCAAGTGTGGTCAACTTGGTTGAATTGGTTGGGAAGGGACAAATGCCAAAGTTGGGGTTAGGGATGGAATTTTTGTGCTTATTGGGTTTCCTTGGTTGGGGAATCCCTTGAGACCTTCCCTCTCATCCCTCTCTTCCCTTCTAGCCTCTTTCTTGCTCCTCCAATTCCTTGTGAGATTCTTGAACCTTGATTGAAGTTTGAGATTGAGTTAAGTTCTTCTCCTACAGCATACCCCCATGTGTGTCGAAAGACATAGCGTCGCAAATACTCCATCAATCGTCCTGATTCAAATTGGGAATGATATCTGAGATTAAGAGCTACAATATACCAGGTTTTGCGACATTCCAATGGCTAGTTTTTCGTCCACGACGTCTCATGTGGGCACGACTTTTCTGGCCAGAATTTT